GGCTTTGATAATGTTTCTCGGCTCAAGGCTCCACCTCTGATACTTCGTTTCCTTTGGCTTCACTACCTGATCTTTTGGAAAGTGTTAGCTCAATATTCTGCTATCGCCCTGCTTCACTGCTGGAGATTTCAGCTTCTGCATAGATGTGCAGGCTCCCCATAACACAGGGATTTGAGAACCTCAGAAACCAGCTTAGGAAGGAGCCCCATAAACGAGGCAGGGGTTTGGTGTCTGTTGTGCTTCTTTGTGTTTGGCATGTTCAGCTGTGCAGCCTTCCCTGCAGGCAGGCACTTATGTTAGGTCATACTTAAAACTTTCTTTTACACAGAGATAAAGGATTGCTTCTATGTCCCAACAGTCTCAAACCTAACAGCCAGAGAACACACTTGGATGGGACCATCTGATGGGGGGCAGAGTCAGTGCAGAGGGACTTAACACCGACTGGCAGAAACGCAGGTGCAGCAGAACGTACCCTCAGTGAGAGCACCTCTGGTGCCTGGGGGGATCTTTGAGGTCCAAGAAATGAAATGGCTCAGGATGCAGGCACCTAAATAGCCTTCTGGATGTGCAACTGGAAGTTGCAGATTATCTGGTCACCCATTTGGCCGCTTACTGGCCATGGCGATGCCTATACAATCCCACAGCTGTGCACCAAGGCACACTCAGGAGTACTTCACTCCTGATGGGGCTGAGTATGTTGGCAGCTCGCTCGCATTTGAGGTGTATCAGGTTCCTACCAACTGGTTGGTACTACCAATGGGTGTTTGCCCACCCTCTCCTAGCAGGGGGGGCGTGATGAGCCCGCAGTCTCAAGGCACATTTACGGCCACATTTGGCCCTGTGCAAACCACAGGAGAGAGAGGAGGTCTCACTGAACCTGGATTCAATATATGACAGGATCAGTAACTTCCAAGTGTCCTAAAGTAGTACAAGCCCCCATGCTGGCGCCCTCAGTCTCCACCCTCATTCCTTCTGACAAATGCTGTTCTGTTTTCTGAATTATTGTTTAGATTGGAGAAGAACAGTATCCACAGCCTTGTTCTAAGGACACAGCGCAGGGGAAGAGAAGATAGATTCAAACCTCTACAAGAAAAATTAAAAAATGTGGATCAAGGCCTCTGCACACCTTCTTCCCTTAGGGAACATTAAATGTAATAAGAGTCATAAGCTTACTTAATTATTGGGGAACATTTAAGCACAGTTTCAACTGAGAAGAGAAAGGGGCTGCTAGGACCCTTCCCACCTGAGCTTTTGCCCAGTTAGTGCCCTCCCCTATGACAGGAGACCTTGATTCCCCTGGTATGCTGGCAATGAACTAACCTGTCCCACCTTGCACGCATGGAGCTAGTGAATGAAAATCCTCCTCTAGCTGTTTTAGGTGGCCATTTAAAGATTGTGTTCGAGATGGTGACCGCATAAGAGGAGTATTCCTAACAGTCACCTCAGAAACCTCAAAGAGGAGCAGGATTTAGGAAATAGTCTTGTCTTCAGCATTTCCTCTTGCCCAAGGCGGGCAGCCTGGTGCCTATTGTAAAAGCTTAAACTTGGACACATGTGCTGCATGGGGAACCAAAGCATTGTAGCATCGCAGCCCAGCACTTCCGATCTAACTGCTAACTTCCAATTTCTAACTCTTACACTTAAAGTGGGTTCTTTAGGGGCCAAGCTGTACCGGCAGAAAAATCTAAGGTAGGCTTTCATTAGCAGCACATGGACTCTTCAGCAGATACAGACCAAGCCCTGTTCACCAGGACCACACTGGAGAATGGGAGAAGAGAAAAGCAAAGCCCAGCCCAGCCCAGCCCCACCTTGCCCCCAAAACTGTGATTACCAGCTGTGACGGGGTTGAATGAGTATTTAAGGAAGTTGGGCTCAGACCTCTTGAGACTCATTACTTGTTGTTAGGATGCTCTGTGAGTGCTGCTGAGTTGAAGGAAAAGGCTTATGTTTATCCTCTTTAGGATGAAGAGGATCTCAATTGGCTTCAATTAAAGTAAGCTAACCTGATGATGCTGTAATGGAACAGGCTGAGCTCTGCTGCTGCTGTGGTTTAGAGCTTGCTGAACTAAACTTGCCCCTTTGGTAGCAAACATGGTATCCACAAGTGTTTTGTCTGCTGTGCTAAAGCTCTTCTGCTGGGGTAATGACTAAGGAAGGAGCAAATGCTTTCTGACTCTAAGGGTTCAAGCTGCAGTTTCAGGGCTATTTTTTAATTAAAGAAAACATTATAAACTCAGTAGGCTTGCTATGAAGAGCCTGAAAATCTGAAGTCAGAATTAAGTTTCCTACTGCAATGGTGATAGGGTGGCATTTTGTCTCTCCTTCAAGTTTCTATTAAAATAGGCAGGCAGATACAACTGTAAATGGAAAAACTGGGTGTGGTGGTCTAGCTTATTCCTGTGAAAGTCACTATCTCTGTTGTCCTCAGAGACGAAGCTTCTCAACTTATTCCCCAAGAAGTGGCATGACTGGCGGCGCTATGGAGTTGAGAAAGATGTAGGTGGAGCTGTGCTCCAGCTCTCGGCTTTGTGCCTTTGTGCAGGTCTGGTTTGTATCTGCCAGATCATGGGCGTGAACATGCTTTATTTGTGAACGTGCAAGGTGCAGAGGGGCATGGAGTCGGATATAGCCCTGGGAGGACAGAGCATGGGAATGATGCTGAGCCGGGTGCGTGCAGGCAGTCAAAGCCCAGTGTGCCAGTGTTCAATGACTTTAAATGCTGCATAGATGTGAGACTACCCTAATTTGTGACCCTTCTACTAGCAATCCCAATGCAGACAGGTCAGGGATGTGGTCTTTTTAGAAACAAATCTTGTAGTCATTACCAAGGAAAAATGGGTATCGGAGAGTGCAGGTTCTTGCCAAAATATATTTACGAAGTGATGGCTTTCAGCTTTCAAATGCTGCTACATGGCAGTGTCCCAGTGCACCAGTGATACTCAAGCTTTGTCCCTAAGGGGGCATTCTCAGTATGCCAATTCTTCCTCTCCACCCTTCCTTTGTTATGATAAACCGTGGCATTTTATATCCTAAGCCAAAACTCAAAAGCTCTCTGCCCTTTCCCTTGTTGGGATAAGTTCCAAAACCCTACGAGGGAGATACAGAGTGAGAGGTAGCACTTAAAGCTCCTGTCATCTGGCACAGCAGGGTCAATGTTACTCAAGCAAAAGGAACCGGGGTAACTAACCTCATGAACAGCTGCTGAGCTCTGTGGAGAAGTAATGCAGCTCCCTGGAGCACAACTGGAAGTGGCAGAATAATTGGCTGCAAATAATGCTGCTCCAATAGCAGCCTTTTTTTGGTAGAAACGGGGAAAATTACTTTCCATTGTTCAATTAGCTCCTGGCAAGCTGGTTTTGATAGTGCTTTTGACTAAAACAAATGTGCTTGCTGGTACCATCTGAACCACTAAGCTGTGGTGACAGAAGAGCTATGGGCCACCTTCTTCTAGGGCCACCATACAGACATGCGAGTATGTGAAGACATCTGATATCTCTCTAGAGTTCTGGTTAGAGATATATGAATTGTCCCTTTATTCGAATACTATCCTGTAAGAACATCTTGGAAATAAAGATGTCAGAAAATCCTTAGTGTTAATTTTGAGCTCTGATCTGCAGAGGTGTGACTGTCGTTCCCGAACTTTGAGAAAAGTACCAGAATTTTGATGGGGGGAGCAGAAACCCAGATATCAATCGAGCTGGCAGTGCTGCAAATAACATATGCAGCCGTTTTAATAATACATAAATCCTTGCCACCATGCTCTCCAGGAGAATAAAGCGCTTGGTTTACAATTGAAGTCTTGTTTGCACCTTTCCACAAAGGAAAAAAATACACTTCTATAAGGGGAATAAATATATTTTGCCTCGAAAAGCCTTCTATCATCCCTTTCTCTTCACGTGTCATGGTAGCAACAGCAGCAGGTTGCTGTGCTCAGTGACTTGCAAGTTCCTAGACGACTCTTCCTCTGCAAAGGGCGGAGATGGTGCTCAGGGCTGGAAGAGCAGACCAGCATCTCGAGATGATGTGGGTGAAAGGTGCCAAGAAATCAGCTGTGCTGTTGCGTCCTCTAAAGTCCAACTTGGGTTAGAGCTTCTCAAGGTAGATTATTTGTCTTAACTGGCAGCAGGCTTCGGAAAACCACAGACCACGTGATGTTTGTTGGGCTGCTGTGGGTCAGCTGCCAGCCTGCCCTTCCCAGGAAGGCAATGTGGAGAAGAGCTGCCAGGGAATAGCTGCTGGAGGCATCCAAGGTGGCTCCTGGTCGTTCCTTACGGCCTGAAGGATCTCGGGCTCCTGCCTGTTTTCTGATGTTACTGACAGA